CAGGATTTAACAGCAGATCTCATAGCCTCTTTCATCAGAGATGGAGCAATTTTCCTGACAAAGGTCATCATTCATTTTACATGCTGTGTGAGTGTATTTGTCTTATCTGACTCAGATCTATACTGCTGCCAGACAGCACATACCTGTAGGTTCTGCCTCATTCTTCATTGATTCCAGCCACCTCTGTGGGACTCTGGTGCTTCTGACCATTTTGGTTTAATTCAATTTGACGAGCATAACGCCAACCATTAATGTATACTCCTTAATCAACTACATCAAGTTTTGCAGCTGCGTCCTGATCAGCATCTCATTCACAGCATTAGTGCTCACTCTGGCTTTGCCTGTCAGTGTGTTTGGGCACCTCAAAATGTTAATGATTATTAGATTTGTTTTGCTAGAACAATTACAACTGAGTAGTGAGTTCCTCCTCACTGGGTGCCTCAATACTTTTGGCCTTGGGATGTGCCACATCTAAGCTATATATTTAGAAAATTATTTGCCTGTCAGTGTAATGGAGCCACTGACAAACATACAATGTTCTCCTTAAATGTACAGTCTTAGCTTCCCAGTGTATGGTTAGGTTTACCTACTTTATAACAACATCTAGCTCTGTGAGGTTGATGTGTTGCATGTCCAACCCTGGCCACAATCAACATGTGTCTTCGATAACAGACCCATGCAATTCAAACAAGACTCCAGTGGCTAAAGAACTTGCATCAACCCACACACCAAGTTCTTTGCTATCAATGCACCACTCGCCTCTACATAGGTTGCTTTACCTCACCCTGGTAATAGTTTCTGTCAGCATTCTTTTTAGCAGGGCATCATCCAACCTTTAGACACTGCATTTGCTCTTCACTTGATGACACCAGTCTCTACATGCAGCTCTCCACAGATTGGGAGGTGTCCAACAAGCTTGCCACAAAAAAGGGAATACCTTCCTCCTGGTGATGGCCTTTGGGACTTCAGGAAGCACATTTCTGCACTTCCAAAGTAGAACATTGTCTTCCCTCCAGACAGTTAAGTCAAGTATCCAAGCTCCATTTTTTGGTCATTCTGGAATTTTGCTTGACAGTCCAAAGCACGACAGGTGTTCAGCGACACTAGTTGCAGATGCGATATCCTCATTTATGCACAGGTTGTCAATGTACACTGGTTGCCTCACTGATTTTTTAATCCTGAGATATCACAACATCAGGACTCTGGTCTATACCACACAAGCAGGAGAACCCAGTCATGGCCGTCAGATAATTTCCGTGACCACATCATCTTACATCTGGCCACCTAACTCCCCAGACTGTAATCCCCTTATGTGTGGGGTGCAGTTGAGCAAGGGACCAACAAAACTCCTTGTAACACCAAAGATGAACTGAAGGCAAGGATTATGGCAGCATTCATCAACTTAAACAAGGAGACTGTCCAGAAGAGTTGCAGGAAATTCCAAAATCGTCTGGAAGCCAATTTTTTAAAAATTTACTCTTTAGTATTTCAAGATATGTTTGTGTCATTTTGGTAAACATATCTGTTAAAATGAGATGTTAGTGTTATTTTCATTTTTGCATAATTTAGACGACAATTTATTTATCACACCTTGTAGAACTAAGCAAGAACATAAGAAAATGAATATTGAACCTGAATATTAACTTGATACAACTAGATACAGGCACTACTCACCAAGTTGGGTGAAAATGATAACAATAAATTACTTAATCATCCAAAATACAAAAATTCTAAAAATCTTTGAGATAACATGGTTTACATTAAAGACGTATCCATTCCTTAGACAAAATAATTTGGAAGAAAAGGCTTTTTGAAAATCTCTTACAAACCCAAATGTTTAGCTGACCATATGCATTCCAAAAACAAAGTGTCTATGTGTGTGTGTATAATATATATATATATATATATATATATATATATAAATAGTGGATGGACAAAAATGTTTGATTAAATGAATCCATTAATTCTTCTTTTTATATATATATATATATATATATATATATGTATGTGTGTGTGTGGACAGTTGCTTGGTGTTGACTTTTATATTAACACATAAATATACCATAACTTAAAACTATATATATATATATATATATATTAGTGATAATGCATAATATCCAACATCAATAGCCTGAAATTCCAAGTCATGCTGTCAACATTAGATATTATGTATAATCACTAATATATACTTAATACCTCTGTTATATAACATTGAGCATTGTTTTTATAACACCCGAGAAAGAAATATAAATGTATGTGCAAGTATATGTGCCTATATGTATGTTTTTATCATAACCATATATATATTTATTTCAAAAAGGTGTGAAGTGCATTTCTGTGTCAGTATCACAAAACTGATTAATCTTGGGAATCAGTCAACTTTATTTTTGTATCACATGTGGCTGGCTTCGAATTGTGACATTTCAACTTCAAGTTTAAGACTTCTTCAGATCTTACTTAAACACAATGTGGGTAAGAGAAATCTTCAGTCCAGACACATTACTGAACCAGTGACCGAGACAACTGCAATTGGTTGATGCTCCAAGCCATAGTGCTACATCTACATCAAAAATGAAAAAGGAGGAGGAGAAAACACCAAAGCAATAAAGAGATGCACATATCAAACCACTGCATCCTTAACTGGGTATAGCATTACATCTGGTTCAATGACCAAGGGTTCTTGAGCTTGAGGTTGCTATTGAAAGACAGTGTATAGTGCCATATTTTGTTACTGGAATGATCCCGTACTTGGCATAGTGTTACATTAGAAGCTTTTATTCATTCAAACACTAAATCTAACAGATATGCTATCATCTCTTGTGGGATATCCCATTAGGCCATGTAGAAAACACAAAGAAAGAAATATTTTCTTCATTTCATGATCAAAAATTGTCTGGATATGTTCAATAGGATTCATATCAGCAGACTTACTTGGCTATACAATTTTTTTTTCTACCACTTTTGCCTTTTTTGCATTATGGCATAGAACTCCATTGTCCATGAAAAGGCACACTTTTTATCCTCACAATCATCAGTGAATATTAGAAGTTCCTCTTGCTGAATGGACATAGATTTTTATGAATTAATATTTCTCACAAGGTCCAGAAGCTTTGATCACACCATAACCAAATATTCATCATGATTAAGTCAAATACAATTCTTGGCTAACTAATTTCCATTTACTTACTGTTCCAAATATGAGAAAATGAGAACACATCTTTAAAACACTTTGCCACCTCAAATGACTATTTTTTTCTCTTTGACCGATTCCAAAAGTGGCATTTTCCTGACTGCATTATAAGATCCCATGTAGTGAACATCTTATACTGTTATTCTTGGTTTAATTTCTAAACATTTTCATATCTTGTTTTATCAGGAGTTATTTGAATTTCTCTTTTTGTTAAATGGATACATCTTTCTGATGGCTTAGTTTAATATTAACATTTAGGTTCATTTCCTTCATTAGTGAATTGTATGATCATATGGTTCACATTTCAAAGTGTAATTGCCGATTTTGTTGCCATTTGACAATGGCTTATTCCATTTTCAGTGTAAATTTCAATCTACTCCAATTCTTGTGTCCCTCAAATACAAGGCATTATTAAGTGTAGTTGTTTCTTAAAAAAATAATAAAATATAACAGAACAATTAAGAGAAAAAATGTTGATATTTTAAATAGATATATTTGAATACAAGGCCTGTGTGTCATTAATGGATTCAGAAGTGCAAAACATTAAATATAGATACATGAATTTATGTAGGTAGTTATCAGACAAAGAAAAGAGTAGGTGGCTTTAGTTTGAGGTAGGTAGAATACTGAGTCACTCTTTAATCTGATGAGTTACTGATTCAGTGATTCTAGATAAGTACTAGCAACAGTAGAATGTGTGCTATCTTTTTCTGTCCCATCTTAAATTATGTACTCTGGTGCATGCATAGATTTTTGTAAACACATAAAAACAGCACATGATAATATAATCAGGCATTTTTTACATGGATCTAATATGTTTGCCTGATACTTTTCAGTTGTTACATATTGCATTTTCTTCTTCTCTGGCATGAATTGTCCACTGCTAGGGTCACTCATACAGATAGTGTCATCTGTTGCTTGCACGAAAGAAATAGATTTTTGTTTCTGTGTTACTAACTTTTCTTGATTGCATGGAATCCTGCTTATGAAAACGTCTAGTTCAAGTGAGTTAACTCATTTTCATTTTGATTCTTTGCGTCATGTATTTAATATTATCAATATTTAGTTGCAAAATTGCAACTCAAGTTACTTGTGTTTTTGTGGTTTTTATCAGAGATGACCAACTCTGGTAAATGTGAAGAATTAGGCAGAATTTACTTAGTAACTTTAGAGTGACACATAATAATTAAAAGAACTAAAGCATGCATATTTATATTTCTCCTCAGAGATGATTATACCAATTTCAACAACAAAACAAGACAACCACTATTGTTTTTGTCATTGTGAATTATAACTGAAAGATCTTATTTACAAAAATTTTAGTTTATCCATTGACTAAAAAAGATTGTGGTAGTTCATTGGAATTATAAGTTTTGAGTTATTCTGTCCCAAAGAAAATGAATTAAAAAAAACAGAAAAAAACAGCTAAACATTGCAAATATAAAAAAGATTACAATTCTTGCAAATTATGAAAAAAATATGAGAAATAGAAAAACAGAATAGAATAAAACATATTACTATGTTGTGTCAATTCCTAACTTTCAAAATAACATTCATCCTGAATCAGCAATACTTTAAAGATTAAAAAATAATCACAAACCCTCAAAAAATGTATTTATATTTTAATTTTCATAAATTCCCTAAAATGTCCATAAAATTTGTTAAAAACTGAAAGTCAATGAGGAAATGTAAATTATGAAAAATGAGTAATGAATATTTAAATGACTGTACAGAAAAGGACACCATTATCCAAGTGAGAAGCTAAATGCTCATTAAAATCAGTCTTTTAGAGTGATTGATGAGAATTAATTCAATACCGTTGGTTGGGTGGCCGCATAGCACCAGGTGGGGGTGGGCGTACACCTCTAGGTGGTGGTGGTGGTCCTCTTGCTCCTGTACCAGGTGGTCCACGAGGTGGTGGAACTGCAGGTCCCCGTTGTTGAGGTGGAGGAGGAGGTGGAGGACGACCTGTAACAGAATGACAATATCAAAGTAACAATATAGAAAATATTCTAACAAATCATAATTGCAAGGACAAAAAAGGCATAAAAACATTTGTAAAAATCACCTTATGTCCAATGGAAAGACAATTAATGTAAGTAGGTAGAGAAAGGTAATTGAAGGTTATTGCTGATATTAGGGATATTTTATATTTCTTTCTGCTTGACAAAGAATGGTTTGCTTTTCCTATCAGTCTATAGATACATATATTATATAGATACATAAAAGAGTGCTAAAAAGTTCTTGGCCTGATCCACTTCCCAAAATCTTACCAAATGACCAAAAATATTATTTTTTAATCCTTTCTTGATTGCATATGTATTTGTGTGTTAAAGCATAATGGCTAGCCATAGGCAAATTAATGTGGCAAAGAATGTGAGGCCCTGGCTGGGTTCAAAAATAATTTGTGCGCATGCGCACACACACACACACACACAGATCTGAAATTTATGATTTTTAATCAGATTTTTTTAAAGTATATTATATGAACAAAATTAAAGTTTTTATCATCTGCAAAGAATGTAAATCATTTTAATGCATTTATAATGATAAGCACAATATACATTTTTGGTGTCTGCAAAGAATTCCTTTAAACAACAACAAATTATGCTGTTATATCATTTTTTATGGGATTGATTTGTCATGCGATCATCTGTTCACCTCAGATGGTGTTATGCTTTCCAGTGAATACAAATTGTGTTTGACTTACCAAAAGGTGGAGGTCCTCTGGGTGGTGCAGGTCCTCTCCAACCTGGTGGAGGTGGAGGTGGTCTCATTCCTGGAGGTGGTGGTGGCATACCTGGTGGTGGTGGTCCTGGAGGAGGTGCCATTCCTGGGGGAGGTGGTCCAGGGGGTGCACCTCCTGTGATTAGTAAATAAAGAAGATCAATATTTTCAGGCGCCATAATGTAATTAAGGGATTCAGTTCATCAGTTTACAGAGAAAGGATTTACTGGCATCGTAGTAGGTAAGATTGTTAGAATTGTATTTTTGGTAGAGGAAAGGATTAAACAAAAAAAAGTGCAACAATAGGAAACCAAAAGTTTGAAGTTATGATTAATTTTGCAGAAGAGAGAAACAATTTTTATTGTTACACTGATATCAGTAAAGTTTATTGCTAATCATAAACATGTCTGTAAAATGGCATTTTTTGTGAACCTGTCAATTCTGTCAGCTTTATATTAAAAAAGAATCACATGCTACACTTTGTATATTAGAAAAATTATTTGAAAATTTAAGAGAGAAAATATTTGTAATTAGTAAAGAACAAGATAGCAATTTTGTACATGAAGTCACCTTAAATAAACTCCAAATTTCCTCTATGCCCTAAATAATCAGCTTCATCTTAGATGATTAGATTTCTCAAGATGAAAATATTGTAATTCTGTTCAATTCTTGATATAGGTTTTGTGATAACGGTTACCCTCTTAATATTATGCAATCTAGTGTTCATGCTAAAATAGCACAGTTTCAGAAACCTAAATTCATAGTTCATCATAATAAATGTCCTGTATGTTTGTGACTGGTGATGTTAATACAAGGTTAAACAAAGCTCTGCTAATGTGAAAAATTGTTATTTGGCTATTAAACCATGTTGCTTTTTCTGCCCAACCAATATTAAGATCAATCTGTAAAAATGTTTTACCATTTTATCATATTAGTTCAATTATTTACCATTTTAGATGTCCATGCCGACTATATATAAAATTAATCAGAGGTTAGAAATGAGAATAATTCAACATGTGCCAGCTAGTATTCATAAAGGGGAATTAAATTTGCATATGTGTGTCAATACATCCAGGCCTGTGATAACTGAACATTTGTTACATAACTATCAGTGTGCTGTATCCTATCATAAAGAGATGTTTTCAGATCTGAGTTGGGTACATTCAGAATTTCACTTGAAAGTATTGAAGACAATATGTATCAGGTTTTTATAGTCCTCCTTTTGTAAACAGGAGTGGCTTTTAGGTCTGAATGTAATTTGTGGCCTTCATTAGGCTACAGTGTACTATGCCATATTTAAAATATATTTTGCATTTTAAATTTATCATTTATGGCTAACAAATGAGGATGGTGTATGTACACCATTCTCATTTGTTATGAATGACTTTTTATGAAAAACTGGTATGACGTATTCACCAACTTTTCAGTTTATTCAACTGAATTATTTACTGTTAAGTTTCAGTTCATTTGAATCATCTTATTTGCATTGACTTCTTGCCATGGGACAATAGCCTAGTAGATTAAAGCATTGATCTGTGAATTTTGTGACACAGTAATTGTGAGTTCAATCTCTGGACTGGGTAGTACATATTTAAACTCAGTAGAAACAGGGCTAGCAATAACTGAGAACTTAAGAACAAAATGAGATATTTCAAGATATGAACAGTGTAATGAGAACAATCTACCTCCATAGATTAAATAAATGGTTCAGTTTGAAATTCCCTGATGGTTACATGGATTAACAGACACCTGAATAAGGCCAGAGGGCACAATGGCTGAAATGTGATAACAACAACGAGATGAGGACATTAGTCTGGATGTGAATTTTGTAATTAGTCGTCAATTTGTGATTTTTGACAGGAAAGAATAATTCTAATAATATTGTTTAAAGAATCAAGATACTTACCCATTGGTGCTCTTGGTGGTGGTGGCATTGGTGGTACTGACTGTGAATTGGCTTGGTCGGTTGGTGGTGGTGGAGGCCGAGCCATTGGTGGAGGTGGAGGATAAGATGGAGGTTGACCTATGGTGGAAAATAAATGCAAAATCCTATTTATGTTCATAGAAAAGGCATTATTTTTTGTAAAGACATTCTATAAATTAATAGAAATTAATTGCAATTATTAAATCCAATGAATTTTAATGCTGTAAAATCCTTTTAAAACTGATAAATACAATTTTTTTGCTAAACAGAAATACATATTTGAAAATCAAATTTTGAATATAAAGGATAAAATTTGTTATTGCTTTACAATGAATTTAATAAAATTACTTTTACTCCTTGATTTCCCATTAAAATGCAATATTCAAGAGACACACAACAATTTGCAAAAGTTCCACTGAGCAACACACATAACAAGAAACGTAAACAAATCTTTCATTCTTGATTTGTAGAGCAATGAGTGTGTTCACACCAATCATTATTTCTCATAAAAGTGTTAAATAACAACATTTAGGATAACATAATCTATATTTCTAATTAAAATTCATTATCATTGTGGTGTTAAATAACATTATTTAGCATAACATGCAAACTTAATTTTTAATAACATACATTATATGGTATTTTTCCAGTGTTAAGCAACAAAGCATTTAAGATGCTATAAAATCTTTATTTCTCATTACAAAATAAAAAATATGACACCCACATACATAATTAAAACCATTCAAAATTACTATGATCATCACCATCTGATGCAAAGAGCTCATCATAAACACAATCATTTAGTCTTGTCATATGGATCCTAGTCCAAATCTGGGGAATCAGCTTCAGATTCATTGTCAGAATCATACAGCATGTCATCTTCAGTACCATCCATTTCATTGTAGATAATGCATTTTTTGAATGAATCGACAATGGTTTCTACTTTCACATTCTCTCAAACCTCTATTACAAATTCCCAGCTCCACCTAGTGATTGCAGTATAACAGTCAAACAGCCAGGTATAACAACAATATCAGTATTAGTTTGTGATAAGAAGGTTTTAATTTTATCTGTTACATAGCTATGAAACATATCCCAGATCAATAAACTTCATTCCTTTCACATGCTACCAGGCTGTCTGTTCCAAATATTATCAATCCATAATTTCACATCTTCCTCATCCATCAATCCTTTTTCCCCACAAAGAAAATTTTATTTTTGCACTTAAAAATCACCATTGGCCTCAGTTTTGTATCATCAGCCATGTATGATAACACCACCGTAAATCATGTCTTTTCGTGCCCTGTACCTTTAACCAGCACCATCTTTACTCCTTTAACATCTACTGTTTTAGCCAACATTTAAAGTTTAATGGAGTTTCATTCCTATTTCCAATACATGATAATGGAAACTGATGCCTTTGCCTCAGCTGAATGACAAACAAGTGAAAACCTGTAAATTCATGTTCAAGATTTCTTGGGAGTTTTTGAGCAATTTTTATCTTTTGTCATTATAAAATTTTTTCTGTTCATAAAAAAATTGCACCAGCCTACTGTTGCTTTAAAATCTTTACTTTGTCCTTGGTTTGCTTTTCACAATTTTAGTGCATATGCTCTGATTTTATTTCTTCTTACTATGTAACCATCCGGTCATTGTTCTGTAGAATTTGGTAAGAGAAACAGACAGTACTTGACTGTATTAGAAGTTGAGTCTGACTGACTACTTCCTTGCGAGGGTGAGTATCATATTTTTGATTCTTCATGTTCTAGTATCCATTTTTCAACGTGAAGCTCCAATTTTAGCCAATAAATCATTTCTATTTTCATTGCACATTTCCGTTTTGACATTTCTCTTAAAATATCTTAAAAATGTGCTGTTATGTAAACAATTGTATTGTCAAAAACAGTAGTTTGCTGATGTAATTTAGGTAATGGTAAATGGTTATTAGTGTTTCAGGCATATGAATGCATCTTTTTTTTTTTTTTTTTTACAACTGTTCTCATTCATGAGTTGTAAGAATGAAATCATTGTTATTTTCATAAAGATTCATGTTAATATTTTATATTATTTTATTCCTTTGGATTTGATAATGATGAAGGCAAGCAAAACATCAGTTGTAATAACATCAGCTTTATTTTATACTCCTAGGAATCATTGTAATTGGCCTAAGAGTTACTGGCAGCATAGTCGATCTTACATTTTTGGTTGTCTTTACTATGGATATCAGATAAAATCACAAGGATTTACCTGGATTTTGTCTTATCTATAGGTTGCCTTATACATGGAAATATATGGTATGTAAAATTTGAGTAGCAAACTAACAAAAATTTACACCATTGAATTTTCTTGTCTTTCTTGATACTAGTTAGATTAGCAACATGTCTTTTATATCTTGGAAAGAACTAATTTGAATATTCACCTATAAAATTAAATTTTAAAAAAAATAATCATGTTTTGTTATTCATTTTCAATCTGGTCTTTTGCAATTTTTATAAAGTGATTATTTTGTTGATAGTTTTATAATTGTAGAAAACCTCGATAAGTGTCTGATATAAGCAACAGTTTTTCTCTTCCGAATAATTGGCCATTTAGAGAAAGCAGTCTCTCAATAAAGATATCATTACTGCTAAATTTGCACAGCACTTGTGCTAATTTGCACTAGAATCAATAACTGATCTGTGGTTATAGTTACATGTAAATAATACATGTTTTTTAGTGTCAAGGGGTAAGTGCTTGGATTTATGACTGTTCATTTTTTTCTACAATAATTAAATTGCTTAGCATTTTAAATAAAGCTGTTTCTGCTCTGAAAGTAGTAATGATTTTGACCATGGCAAGAGGTTTAAGTTGGGATTTTTTTTATCAGTTGGTTTTGAAAATCTAACAAATCTGAAATTTCATTTCTTCAATGCTTTTTTAAGTATCATTCTTAAAATTAATTACCCAATTTGTTTTGTTTAATAATGGAATTATTCATTTATAGCAAAAAGGTAAACATTTTATCATTAAAAATGAATGAGATACTTTTTGTGCATAAAAATGATTTGAATGGAAAAATTGAATTTTCTATATCTTATTTAATATTTGTGTTAATTTATTTAGCATCTGAAGAAAAATTTAAGAAAATGTAAATCTAACAAAAGTTACATTCATTTTAAAATACATAAGAAAAACATACTTGCATGAAACAAAAAATATGAACCGAGTTTACCTTTATATTTACATTGTAAATCAAACAGCTGCTGGCATAAAAACAAATCTGGGTGATGTTTGTATTATACATACATTGTAAATCATACTACCACTTGAAAACCACATTACAATCTGGCACAGTGATTCTAAACAAATTTCACATCTTGAATAAATTTATTGTCTGAAAACTTTTTGCCCTCTATGAACTTGATCTTATCAAATGCAATTCAGCAAAATAAAAAATTTTTACATAAACTATACTCATTCAGACCAAATATAAATGTTCATAGGCTATAATGAAAAATTTGGTTAGTTTGTGAGCAGATGATCATTTTGTTACTATCTTTCATGCTATATTTTTTGAATTAAAGTGCTTGATATCAAGGATATAGCATATGTAAATATAAAAGTAGACATTGACGTCAACACCCAGTAGTGACAGTCCGTTTCATGCTTAAATGCAATCATCAGGCCATCGATTCTGTTTAACACATACACACACATGATGACTATTTCTAAAATATAATTATATAAAGACAACTATTGCACTGACAACAGTTACACTAAACTGTGTCAAAAATTCATGTTTAAAATGATATACAAAATAAATTACTATATACAAATTGAATTATTATGCTACAAAATTTCAAATATGAATTATTATGTTACAGAGTAAAAAAAATAAATAAAATGAGTGAAATATAGATAAGTGACCTATTCACAAGTGATTTATATTCTTTTCCACAAAGACGACATAAAACTCTTAATTTGATTATTAGATTGTACATTGTGAAACTTCACATGCATAGCTAATCTGGGCCTATTTCAATATACTTTATTGCCAAATACATAGTGCAGAATAAATTTGGAAAAATTATTTGTGCCTAGTCTGTTGGAGGTCTGTATGACTATGCATGTGGCTAGTCAGGCCAATATCAGTGAGGCAGATACAGTTACATGTAGCACATTTAAAAATATACTGCCTTTATCCATTGCCTGTTCCTTTCTTGTGGTTCTCTTTGGCTTTGAATGACTGTACTGGCTTTCTTCAGATAGATTTGCTCCATCATAAATATCTTTCCTCCATTAAAATCAATAGCATCATTTTCCCAATTACAGTGATTGATTTTAAAAGCCATGAGTGACTTGTCTATTGAATCCTTAAAACATGCTTTTAGTTCATGTTGTAGCCTTTTAGTTCCCTTTATTTGTACACACAGTAATTGTTTGGGGATATGCTTATCCTCTCTGACCTGATGATTCACCTAACATTGCCTATGCTTATAAATTTCTGTTTCAATGCTGGGCATGCCAGTTAGCTTTAAAATGGCACATGATACAAATTAGTTGGTGCTGGCTAATACATCACCACACATCTTGAGAGTTATCTAAATAAGAAAATTAAATATCTGTCCGGAATGCTTATTCCTGGTTACAGCTAGATAAAGTTTAGATTTCATCAAATTTTCTGAATAAATTTAATATTAAATTTTTTATCATAGGCAATTCTTCAAATTATTATGGTTGGCTAATGCTACAGAATATGAAGGCCAAGGCCCAGGCCAGAATGGTCAACAATTGGCTGGAATGCCTCATAGCAGGGCATTCTGACAGTGATGGAATGCCTTGTCTGAGTTTTGAATGTCTAAAATGGCACAAATTCAACAGAGAGTCTCAAGAATTCTGAAGTGTTGATATGCCTCCCACATTCAGGTTTGCAACCAGCTAAGACCAACCACAGAAGGACACTGAGCCAAGGTCTGACATGTGTTCATGTGACATCATTCTTCCTACTGCCTCTTAGAATCCAAGCTGCCACTCTTAATATAACGAATAACAGAAAAGAAACATCCTTTTCATTGATACCGTTTTATTTAGTAGCATCGGTATCCAGAGACGACACAGAATGCAACACTAAGAAAAAGGTTAAGCTATAAATCTTTAGGTTGTAACTGTAAAATAAAGTATCATGCAGGAAAATTCCATAATTTAAAAATTTGTAAGTAAAAAAAAAATAATGCATGGCTGAATCTCATATTGCATATAGTAAAAATTAAGAAGCATATTCAAATGCAGATATTTAAATAAATTCAAAACATAGAGAAATTTTATCCAGTTGCACAAAGAATAAGTGTTGAGTTCATTAAGGTGTTTTATACAAAGTGAAATTCTAATCTTGTTTATAGTTTGTTGTAATGTGAAATTTTTATGAAATTGAGATTAATAAAAGAAATCTACTTACCTGGTGGAGGAGCTCCACCTGGTGGAGGAAATGATGGCATGCCAGGAGGCATTGGCGGTGGAGGCATATTTGCACCAACTGGAGGTGGCACAGGGAGAGATGCTGGTGGAGGTACTGGAGGAGGAGGAGCAGCTGATGTTGATACTAGAGCAGAATTTGTAAGACCTTAAAGGAAAAAAAAAAAAGAAAGAGAAGAATAATAGAAATTTGGTTCAGTAATGGGATTTCATGGCTGAAGCAAAGTCTCTACAGAATCAAACAATTAACTTTGAACATGTTCTTGTAATCATAGAGAAATATTTACAAAAATTGCAAAGTCTAATTATTTCAAATTAGCATTATTTTGGAAGGAGAAGCTTAAAATTATATCTTCATATGGAAAAGAACCAAAGTTACATCAAATTAAATAAAGATTCCTAATCTCAAAATCCTATTGGCATAGTGATATAAGAGACTAAAATAAGATTTTATAAACATTTGGTGAATGAGAAATAATTGCTGGTAAAGAATTTTTTTCTCCAGATATTTCTATTTTTGCTGATGAAATATGTAAATTTAATAGAAGACATTAAATGAAAATGTTTCTATGTTATTCTACAAAGCATTGCATTCTTCATTAAAAAAAATAATTTTTTTTCTCTAAAAACCTATTATTATAAACATTCACAAATAATATTTACACTATTTGAAAGAGTGACAAAATACCAATAAAGGAAAAATGTATGATACTTCTTCGTCTATGGCCACTCAAAAATATTCAAATATTCCTTATATTCATAACAATTTAAGATTGCTAATAAATCTGCAGATATATTGTTCATAAGTTTGAGTTATTAATATTCCAAACTTTGGACAATTAAATTCTTTCTTTGTGTTAATGTTACTACAACGATCAGAGCATTCTTCAAGAAAAGGAGGAGGAGGAGGTAATTTTATTTTCTTTTATATAAAACAAGATGGTGACAGAAATGAGTCACCAAATTAATTGCTTCCAGCAATATGAAATAGACAGACAATTAGAATCCCCTAAGTGGTGGTGATGAATGGTATGATCTGTATAATTTGTGTTGTTCAAATGAATTCATCTGGCTAGTACATTAGTCACAAATTTGTGTTTTATACACATATAATTGACCTTTCACGTCCTTTATGAAATACAAATTCAAGTGTGGTTGTAGAATGGATCGCTGAAAACATTGTGGTAACAATATAAACACAAAGAAGGAATTTAGTTATCCAAACAGAGCTTGAAGTTCAATAGATCATATATATGTTGGTGTTTCTCAATACTGCTGCTGCCATGAAAGCAACTTATTATACCAGCTTAAGCAAAATACAATTGCTATGGCAGCATGCATTGGTTAAATCCTTCTTGCTATCAACTTCAAACTCCACCATAAAAAAAATTCTGAAATTACAAAAAAACCTTGTGTATGAAAATGAAAAAGGGAGAGTCAGCCAAGATAATTTCTTAAAACTAATTTTAATTAAAAACAAAGTAGTTATAAACGTTTATAATTCAAGTATTCCATTCCTATTGCTCATTTCAAAATTCTAAAACTCATTTCAAACTCTTGAAATCTTGTTTTTTCCATTGCTTTCTGTTAGCAAGCCAGCAGTCAGAATCATCATTGCAAAAATACTTTATTATTATATTTTAGCAAAAGTCTATTTTGCAGATTAGTGAAGAAAGTATTTCATTAACTCAGTAAGGTTAAAAGGAAATAGTGATTGAGAGATGGTGTTCATTTTTCTAACAGAAAGTTAATACCTCAAAAAATAAAACCAATAAAAGACATGAATAACATCAAATCTAGTCACTTGACAGATCTGTATTGGATACTTCATTACTGTGACCAAGTAAAGGATCAAAAGGAACTTAGGAAATAACTAAATACACTTGAAAACAATGGGTATAAACATTTCTGTTTAGTAATAATAGTTACATCAGATTTCCTAAGTATGTTATAAAATTTACATATTTCTTTTCAAAAAGGCTTTCTTTGATTTTTTATTATTCATTTTGATTTTCATTAGATTAATCCAATCTAATGAAAATCAAAATGAATAATAAAAAAATCATTAAAGTGGAGGTTTGTAATTTAATGCATAACACCATATACATCAGCAAGAGACATTTATTATTTTTATAACAGTATTATTTGAAGAGTAAAGAATGTAAATTCAGAGATTTTACTTTAAGGCATTGGTAACCAAGCTAAGTTCTAAAGTACATGACACATTTAGGTTAGAATCTGCAACCTTTAATCTTTATTAAAATTATCTCTTAATTTTTGGCTAATAGCAAAATCAAATTACATAACAAAGAGAATAATTTTTTTTAAATAAATAAAAAGCCTACCCATTGTGATGCCATTTGCCAAAGACATCATTGGAGCTTGTGAGACTGGAGGTGGAGGAGGTGGAGCAAATGATGAAGGAGGGACAGGAGCAGGAGGTTGCTGAGGAGGAGGAGGGGCATCAGCAAACAACTGATGGGGTCTGTCAGTCAGGGAAAGTGGATTTTGTGCAGCTAAGAGACGTTCTGAAATATAAAAAAATTATATTAATTAAACAGTGTTCATGAAATTTGTTTCAACTGATAACAATTACAAAAAAAAAAAAAAAACACCTGAAAAATTGATTAAAAAGAAAGCTTGAAAGCTCCTTCAATGATGGAACCAATGAAAATGAAAAAAAAAAATCAAATAAACTTACAAATAAGGTTTTAAAAAATATTATAAATTAGGAAACATTAAAATATTTCTAAAAAAATATACTAAGAATGTTAATACTAAGGTTGGTTGGTTGGGTTTTCTGGGATATCAACCACTGTAGGTCATTTAATGCCAAATTAAGTTATATATATATATAACTATATATATATATATATATATATATATATATATATATAGTACTATTAAACATATAGCTGGCAACATTACTCCTTCAGAAACGTATAGCTGGCAACATTATTCTTCCAGAAACGTATAGCTGGCAACATTATTTTTCCAGAAATGTACAGCTGGCAACATTATTTTTTCAAAAACGTATAGCTGGCAACATTATTTTTCCGAAAACATTATCTGAGGCCTTGCTGTTGGACGTAGTTTATCACTATACCCAGGATGCGGATGTAGTTTATCGCCATACCCAGGGCGCCTTAATACTAAATAGTGATAAAATGATTTTGCAATATAAATTTAGAGTAGGCAAGATTCTTAAAATGTTAAAAGAAAATAAAATTTAAAGCAACTCTTTATCTGGCAACTGATAAAGTTCTCTGCCTTTTAAATATTGGAAAAATGATTTCATAATGATGCACACATAAATATTAAAGTATTAACAATTTCTGTTTTATTTAATACTTTTCATTTGTAGCAGTTTTTTTTAATCAAATGATTAAATTTATTTTCCATGGTTACAAAAAAAAAAAACTTCTAATACAATTTTCTATAAGTTGACTCAGGTCCCTAGGGTGCAAAATTAAGGAATTCTAGGGTGTTAACTACACAAATATATATTTTTAAAATATTGTAATATACAAAGGTGAGCAGAAATAGAGAATAAATTGGAACAAAAACAGATATTCTCTTTGTAAATTAAAAATAGTTATCACTACTATTATTTTATTTATTTTTCAGGGAGTAAAATTAGTAACAAAATGAAAGGGAAAATGCATTATTTCATTTTTTTTAAATACCAATATTTTTATTTTAATTATTATTTTATTATTTATTTTTATAACTCAAAACTAAATTTTACTCATGAAACTTCATGGTCTTTAAAAATGAACAAGTGACTCCACGGGATCAAGTTAACATCATCTTTTAACATTAAAATACATATTTTACAATTATGGGGAGATAATTAAAAATATAATAAAAACAGTTTCATATATTTACTGTGTAGCATTTGATAAGGTACAACAGAAAGAACTGTTTGAACAGCTAGGAAAGCTTGACTTATCTGGGAAAGATATTAGAATAATATAGAACTTATACTGGGCGCAAACCACTTGCATATGGAAAGAAAATGAATTTAGTAAATACATAAAACAAAAAGAGGCATAAAACAAGGATCTACCCTCTCACCAGACTTATTCAAGTTTTACTGCAATGTGATTCCGAGAGAATGAAGTCCTATCGGGATTTATTATTGGTGGATAATAGCTTAACAACACAAGATAACCTGATGATACAGTGTTGGTAGCAAACATAGAAAAGAAACTACAGAAACTCCTAGAGAAGGTGGTCATTCAACACAAAAAAGCATCCAAAGGCAGTATTAGTCATCCCTAATCACCTCCGAACTTCAGCATGCTCTATGTAATTTACAAAGCACTCTCAAACAGAAACTAAAATCAAGCCAGCCCCTCACAGGTAACCCAACCCAGAAACAGAAGCACATCAAAGATACCATAATTGAGAAAGTGAAATTAAATTTAAGCCATAGAAGATGAACACAGCAAGATTTTGTTTGATGACCTACTCACTAATAAGTCTTTTAAAGAATGGTAGGGTGCCCCAAGTTCTCTGCAAAAAGAACAGATTCAAGTCTGGTCAAATACTTCCTCAAAGGGAAACACATAATATGCAACACAGAGTAGGATAGGAAGATGGATGAGGTTCAATATCAAGTCTGTCCTTTGTCCTTCAAAGTCGAAACAGATCCTTGGTTATCATTGACAAACAGGGCATCCATACCAGATGGAAGGAAACTTCAGCCAGCTCCTGAACTGCTTCTCCAAGATTGATCAATCAGCAATTGACCAAATCTTGCAAAGCCAGTTCATGGACACCTTAACACCGCCCCCTCTTCTCTGGCTAAGGTTAGAACAGCCATCAAACATGAATTGTGTCAAGGCACCTGACAAGGATAGTGTTCCCACAGAAATGTGCAAACTCTTGACCAAGTGTCACTCGAATTATTCCAGTATGTTCCGTTTAGTATCTGCGAAGAATAAGAAATACCATCTGATATTCAAAATACTACAATTGTCTGAATAAAGAATAAAGGCTTACACACTGTGGAACTACTGTGGCACCTGACTTTTCATCACCAGCAAAATTCTGACCTGCATCATTCTAAATAGATTTATTTCAACAGTTTCTGAAGAAAACCTCTCTGAATCACAATGCAACTTCCAGCCTGAATGCAGTAATGTTGATATGATAAAGGCAGGAGAAATGTACTGTGGGTTATTGCAGATGTATGAATTTTAAAGTGACATGTTGGCATTTTGTGACTGATATTGACCAACTTATATTTTCTGATTTCAGATCATGCAAAATAAATATATCTTCAAATTTCATGCTAATCCAAGAGTTATTGTTGGTTCCAATTGGCATGGAAAAGACTGCAAAAACATCCCTCTTCCCAAATTTATAGACAAATCATACAGATGCAGGCTGGGATTTCTTCCTAGCCAATAAGGTTGGCCACTACTCAGTCTCATCTGTCATATTTTTGCTCTTTCTTATTTTGAAATCAGAACACTGCGATAATGTGTCTGTACCCCTTTTGCGTGTTAACACCATTCTTAGTTTGTGAACTTTTTGCTTTATTATTGTTGCTTTGCCTACTTTTGTATTTCATATATATGTTTCTATTATTTTTGCCATGTTCTTTTCTTTTTGTTATTGTTTATTGGAAACTTTGTAAATTCTGTTTGTTGGACATTTCTGCCAATTACATTTAACCATGGTCAATTACTCTACAGTTATAGCCAAAGTTTTAAGAGAATTGCCCAAACCTTGCAAAATGTATTAGTTTGGTTTGATTTGTTTTTCAGCATATCAACCTTTTCCAGGTTATTTAATGTCAAATTATGTCATTATTATAAACAATAGATACATAGTCATAGGCCCAGCTTTCACAAGTCAAAATGGTACACATAGGTATATCAAACATGTGGCTTCATTTTTTGTGGAGGTGTTACCCCTCTGCAGTCAATGTATTTTTACTCCACCCAATAATGTGAGCAATAGCTATTGCTTTAATTTTTTAAGATGTTGAACCTGTACATCATTCTGTACATGCAGATATTGGTGTTATTTCCATCCAGTGAATGTTTTGCTTTTGTGAAGTAGCTGCATAAAGTGGGAACACTTTAGAATATTGTCCTAATGTTGTATTTATATTCTCTGCATTTTCACACTTCTGAAGTATGGTGGAAGAACTGTAGTTAGTTTTTTAAACCTGTTCATCTGCTGTTAAATACTAGTGATTTTAAGGTTAGAGGATAATTATTTCTTTGGAGAATGGTCGTTATACTGGCCATCATTTTACTGGAATATTATCCACGCTTTCCAGATGTGATTTGTTTAGAAAAGAATCAAAATTAAAAAAGGCCACAACAAGAAAGCAAGGAAAGAAAAAGGAATTTGTCCAAACAAATGTATACAATGTGCAGAACACCTTAAAAATACTGAAATCAACAAGGAAGTCTATGATGGGTTTCATTGTGAATGATGAAAATAAAGAAAAAGCAAATTTTAAAAAAAAAGAACAAAAAAACACTGACCAGCTGCAGAGCCATGTTTTTCTCCTTTGATGTCTTTTTTAAAAGCATAAGAAATGGTGATGGGACGGTTGCATAAATATTGCCCATTCATGGCCTCTATAGCAGCATCTGATGCTTCAAAACTGGCAAAATTGATGAAAGCATATCCTTTGGAATTTCCAGTGTCCAAATCTCGCATAATCTGAAAGGTGTAAAAAAAGCACAAAATCAAAATCTATACAATGAAAAATTTTGTCTTTGAATTATTAACCCTTTAGGTCATTCTCAGTACACTTGTAATGTAGATTATAGATCAGTGTTAATAGTAGTAGTATTAGAAGTGCTAGTGTGTTTTGTCTTTAAGATGAAGACAGTTTTTGAAAAGAGTAGACAGAATTTATTATTACAGACTATAAATATGGCTATAATTAATGTAGAAAGATTCATTTGTATTTGCTAGTGAAATGTAATAGATTTGTAATAACTAGGAAACAGTCATCATGAATCCTTAATAAAAAGACTTCATTACTTCCTGCAGTTCCTTATATAAAAGGAAGGCATGTTCTGGATTTTTAGACAAACTGGCAGATTCTTTTAAGTGTAGTAGTCATAGGTATTTCTTTCTGTATAACAATATATTTAAGAAACCTTTAGATTTCTCTGACTGCATTGACCAGCTGAGAAATTATAACTATTTCAACTAATTACCTCTCTTCCAAAAAATCTTACTAATAACTGAACCGTAATTTTCTGACATGCTCTGATGAAAAATAGTTTTTTGTACCAATATATCAGCTAAAAGTAAATCATCATTTTTATTAAGTTTTAAACTTATCTTTTGATAATTTGCTGATTGGTCCTAAAAACTAGACAACCCAATGCAGCATTTGAAATATTATTTGATGTTCATTGACTGGAATGCCATGAATTGCATTATCATGTTATTATTGAACTGTTCTATAAGTGGATATACAAATTGATTTTAAGCATAGCACTGGATTACCCATGTTACAAAATGGAAAATTATAGTCATACAATTTTTGGAAAGTTTCCATTAGAAGGCAAAATATCAATTAAGAATATCATTCCTAATTTATATCTCAAATTGCAACTTTTCTTCCATTTATTCCTGCAAATAAAAAGCAAAAGTTATGTTTTCCAAAAATACTAAGTGGGAGAAGCAAGCTATCTGTGTCTTAATAATTTACATTTTTTTTATTTAAGGGAATGACTCGCAGTTCAAAATTTCCCTGTGCACATTTTATTTAAGTAATAAAAAAAAAAGAAGCTAATCTTAACCAAAAATTCCAACATCAGAAAGCATTAAAGATTATGGCACACATGCATTACATGTCACTTGCTAATAAGGAATTTACAAAGGAAAAATGGAAAATGTTTTAATGATCTTGTTACAAATAAACTTGAAAATAATATAGTAAGTATACAAGTGTAATGTGAGTAAGATTTTATAAGAATATGAGACTAAATTTTTCATATGCGAAATAATTGTTTATTGATTTCTGGACCATCAAGTTAATGTCAACAATAGAAGGTAGTGGTTTCAGGGACTTTCTTTGATGGTTAGATATTCTACTTGTGAGGATGTGAGGGACTCTGCCTGCCTTCACGTGGGTTAAGTGTTTATACAAATTCTTGTCATTTAACTGCCTTGTGTGTGTATATCTTGAGTTCAGCTGGGTTCACTTCCTGTTTATGTCAATGTACCCACCAACATTCGTTAGACTTGATTCTGCACTTGGCAGTTATGAAATCACCTTCTAGATCAACCCTTGAGACACCTAACTCTTGACATTGAGGTGACAGAGTACAAAGCAACTCTGATATTTCCTGACATTAATTACATACTACACAAACACAGATAAAGTTTATGTATAATTCTTAAATTAAATTTATATATTTTGATTATTGATATAATCTACATACTGTGTGATAGATTAAAAAGAAAATTTAGTTGTGGATCAATACTAACAAGTTAGTTTTGCAATGAGTTTTACCATTGATATGCCAAGCTTGTGGCCTTGTGCCAATCTAAACTTAGTGAATGCCTCTATAATCTACATGCATATATCTTTAAATATTTATAATAAAAAAACAAAAAAAAAAACTGCACAGAATTTGAATGTTTAAAAAGTGGGCAGTTTTTTTTTAAATTTAGCAGTCAACAATGAAATTCTATGGACTAAATGTGATTTACCTTTGGTGTCTGTAATATTACTCCAAAAGCACTGAAAGTGTCATACAATAATTTCTCATCTACTTCTGGATCAAGATTACCAATAAAAATATTAGCACCAACATCCAGATTCTTCTGATGAGCTGAGGCCTGTCAAAAAAAAAGATAAAAAAGTAAATGTTCAATATGCCACATTGAAATCAACTAGGTGGAAATTGTCTTATTTGTAACATTTTTCCAGAACAGTTTAATTACAAATATAAATGAATTTATATAAAATAGTTGCTAATCTGAAAACAAATTATTAATAGACCAGCCAGAAAGACTCATTTTCATAAAATTTCAATTTTGTCTGTGTAAACTGTAAGCAGCATCTGTTGCCACTTTTTTCAAGCAAAATAAAATTTATAAATTTGTCAGCTGACCAATAATGTAGTAGGTACTGAAAAATTCCAGAAATTAAAACATGTATATCAAACATTTTAAAATTTGTAATATGAATGAAAGACAAAAAAACTAAGTGTGTGTGCTCAAAACTTCTCAGCCCCACCAGGAAAACTTTTAAAAAATATTCTGAAGTTTGATCATTTAATCAAATTTTGGGAAGTGGGTTGGGCTAAGAACTTTTCAGCACCTCTTCATATTTTAAATGGAAACTATTTTGAGAGGAAGTGAATCATTTATAAGTGATAGTGACAATGTGGTTTTGTATAAATCAAAATAATCAATTTCCTTTTTTTTTCTTTCAAAATAAAATAAGTAATTTCATGCTTTTGGCAGAAACACATACAAACATTGTTATATTTGTGTGCTCTAAGGACAAAAATTATCACTATAACTTGATATGCATTATTATAAAATGTTGTCTTTCCAATTTCCGAGTGAGGTGTTCACTTTTTTGTTAAGAATTGTGAGTAATCAGTATGTTAAGCAAGATGTATTTGACTAACTTAGATTATTGAAATTAGAATTTAAGTCAGTTAAAGGTGATGTCATCTGCAATGGTCAAACTTGTTTACTGAATGAACTTTGGACAGTTTATTAACAATTTTAATCCTGATGTAAAGCACCTCAGCTGGAAATTGGAAAAATATAAAAAGTTGAATAAACAGATCTTGTTGGTGTCATAATATTTGTGCACTAAGATGATAAAACAGAAACCAAATTTTTATGATGCAATACAAACATATAGGATTCAAGAGTAATTTTAGAACGCAGTATGTGATAAATTCAAAAATAAAATGTTGCACTTTACCTTATTGACTCGTATAGGCTTCCCATAGAGTTTTATCATGTTCATTATTTTGATAGCATAATCAGCATCTTCCTCTCCCATGAACTCAATAAAACCATAACCCTGGTGACTCTGTGTCACTCTGTCTTTTGGCATATGTACATTTACTATAAGAAATGAAGGAAAAAATTATTAAATATTTGCAATCATATTGTTACTTTTAGTTCAAGCTGAAAATTTTCCCAGTAACAAGTACAAACAACTGTAACAACCAACCTTGATATTTTTTCCTTGCACAAAATTTTCTGCAAGCATTTAGGCTTTAACTATTTTAAATTTCTGATATAGGAATTGACATAATTTTTGTTGTATGTCAGTAATAGTTAAGTGTAAAATCTATAATGTAGGTTTATACATTTTGCAGAATTCTTTTATGCACAAAAGTACTTTCCTTTAATGGTGATTTTGTCTGTCATTCTGAGAAGATATGAATATTACAGGAAAAGATTTACATGACAAACTTACCCACAGGTCCTGCTTGTAGGAATAACTCCCATAATATGGCTTCTGTTACCTTCTCATCCAAGCCTCCCACATAGACTGTAGCATCTGCAATGAGAAATGCAAATAATTCAAACACACAAAAATACACAAAACCTAATCTTGTCCATATTTTGATTTCTTTCCTACTTATTGACACAACACTTAAAAATCACTTTCTACTCTGTAACACAAATACAAGCTATAAATTTGGTGGTTATTAGTGTTTTGATACTGCAAATACATATTATTATTATTATCTGGAAAATATATGAAGGTAATTATTCTACAATACTCACTATAATTTAATGACATCAAATTGAGTAAAACAAAAAAAATTCAGCCACTTTTGTCTGAACAAGCTCAAGGAAGTAGAACAACTTTTAAATTGTGGAAAAAAAATATTTCTAATCAACAAGGTTCCCAATGATTTATAGGAAGATCCAATCCATCAAAGCACTATTTCTTGTGTGTGAGTAGGTTAGACAGAATGAGCTTTTTCAAAATATCTGTAGTTTCATAAATTAATGAAAAGGATTAGTTGCACCAAAAAACAACACTCAATCCATGACAAGTCAAGAAAGTTTGGTATCTAAAATAAAGTCCCTAATATATAGTTAATTATTGCATTTGATGGTAAACTAGAAAATCATAATTAGTAATATTGGCATGCTGTATATACTCAAGTATAGTGTGAGTTTTTATGATCATCTTTTTACTCAAAAAATAGGTTTTGCACTATACACAGGTATTTTTTTTCTGGAAGGGTTAAAATTCATGTCAGTATAGACACAGAAGAAGCTTTGGTTTACATGCAGACATTTTTGTCAACATCAGTTACATCCAGGTTTTTCCTGTTAGCAGTGGGGACACTTTAGCATAGGTACCTAAAAAAAAGAGTATAGCATGATTAAAAAGACGCCAAACTTGACGAAAACAAAATTTTATCGTCTAAATGTTTGTTATTATTAAGAGGAAAGGTCAAAGTATTTTTGGGGTATTTTTTCCCATTTTTTTAAATCATTCCTAGCACGTCCGAAATTTTCGTTAAAAATCTATTTTTTTTTGAGTCAGCAAAATTGACCATTTTTTTCCATTTAAAAAAAAAACTGGAAATCTGACTTTGAAATTTTTTTAAATATCAATTATCATTTTTTCAAAAACTTATTTTAAGAAAATCATAAATTTTAATGTTTATTTAAAATATTTTGAACCAAACTTAACTTAGCTTTTGTGCCAAAAAGATGTAATTTGAAAATAAAACAAAGCAGGTCATAAACTTTCGCGTCTCTTGACATGTGATGAATGATATATTTACAAATTCCATGAGGCTAATTTGTTCTACTTAAGGAGAAAAGTGAAATAATTTACATTTACGTGAACAAATTATTTACCCGTTATTTTTAATGAAAACTTTCAGCGGTCTAATTTTTTTTTTTTTTTTTGTACTTAGCTTTCACCTTTACGTTTATGATGCTTTATGGAAATATATTGTAAAGAAATTAAAATAAAACTGTTAAGAGTGACATTAAATTTCATATTTCTTAAGAAAGGTATCTAATTAATTTATAGGTACTCTTCTTATGAAATTTTATCAGAATTGTACATAAAATACTATAATTTTATGTACATTTATTACATTCTACTGTTATTTGTATTTGCATTCATTTTATTATTAATTTTGATATTTCATTTATGGAAAAATGTCATAACTGAGATTAATATAAAAATAAGATCATATAAATTTCATAAGATGATACTGATACTTGTAGGTACCCTTCTCAGTTGAAATTGAAAAATCAAATTAACTTCTCCACGTGTTTCGCAAAAAGTAAAGGCCTTAACAGCGGAGAACAATGCTTAACTCAAATAACGCAACTTAATTATATTCTGGTTGGTCGTCCATATTTTATAATTACAGCTCGATTATAAGCACAAAATTACATTTCTTAATTACTGGGGATCTTCTGATTAGTCAAAATGATACAATTTACAACGCGCTAAAAAAAAGATCTATCTCATAAGGACACTTATGAAAGCCGATGCGGCTTTTAACTAATTTTATAATATTTTAACAACTTAAATGTAAAATCTATTATAATTAATGAAATAACAAATAATTGTATTAAAAATTCATTTTTCATCGAAAAAATTTTTTGCTTTCAGAAAATATTGTCCATATTCATAAAAACAACTAAAAGCAAATAAAAGCATTTGAAATTAAATAATATCTTTGTTTTATTGAGTTTTGTATGTTACAATTCAGAGCTGATTTTCAGGTACTGCGTATCCAATTAAAAACAAAAAAAAACATGATTTGCATTCCTCAAAGCCCTGTGCTTTTAATTATTGTAATCACTAAAACCGATGCGATCGAATTTCTAGCGTTTTCATAAAATTAGTTATGGGGGGTAATAAATATTTTTTAAAAAATATTTCTACCATGACTTTCATAAAAAAAAAATATTTATAATAATTTCGATCATCTGTGAATAGTTCCTGAAAGTTTCATTAACATCCGATAATTATTTCTATTTTTGCACGATTTTTCAAATTAATGTGTGTCATACCAAAAAAAAAAAAACGCTAAAAATTCTATGTTATTTACTAGTTCCGCTGATACAAATAGAAAAAAGGTTTTTTTAATCAAAATTTAGAATGTTCTAAAAAGAAGGGAAATTTTTTTAAAAATAATTAAAAAAAAACTTTGGTCTTTCCTCTTAATAATAACATAAGCATTTAAACAATAAAATTTAGTTTTCGGCAAGGTTGGCGTCTTTTTCATCAAGCTATGCTCTTTTTTTAGCGATTTCGTGGAGGTACCTACTTTAGCATGTCTAGTTAGATATGGACCTCTCTGCAACTGGTCAAGATCCGGGTCTTTGTAAAATGCCTAATGCCAATAAAACCTGTGGGAAAACAGCAGTCAGAAAGACACGGTGTCTTGTGAAGTTGGTCCCATGGGCATTTTGTTCTTAAAGTTGTTGTGGTTTCTGAAACACTGTTATTTTTTGTTACCTCCTGTCTCTTTCCTCTCTCTCCCTATTATCTCCATAGTTATTGGGAGAGCAATCAGTTAGGCGTTTCTCCCCCAATCTCAACAGACTCTTTCTTACATTACTACACTCATGGCTGATGGTTCAGACCAAGATCTAACTATTGTTGAATGGTTTGAAAAGGCTGAACTAGTCAGTGATCTGTGCAGTGTGAAGAACATTGCTAGCATTCCACCACTTCGTTTGATGGGAGGTGCATTTGCTGTGTTCCAACAACTTGGCAAGGAAGAAAGAAAAGATGTAGGCCGTATCAGGGATGCTCTGTACGTTGACTTTACCACAGATCCATTCGTAGCATATGACCAGTTTGTAGCTAGGTGCTTGAATTCAAATGAATCAGTCGACGTCTACTTCACAGATCTTTGCAGGCTGTCAACCTTGTATGGAGAGGTGTCTGACCTTGGACTTGCATGTGCATTTGTAGCAGGGTTGCCTGTGCATGCCAGGAAGCTGCTTTGTGTTTGTTATCAAATGGATGCACTGGATATCAACCAGCTATTAGAGCTGGTTAGAGCCATACTAAATGATGATACACCAGCAGCAGAATTGATTGTGAAAGCCGCAAAGCCTGAGCAACTGGGTACAGACTTGTTTGTTTGTGTTTTAGGGTATATCAACCTTGTTGGGTTATTTAAGGTACAGAATTGACTTTTGTCAATGATACACAGAGCGATATCATCTGCCACAGACGTGGTGGTGCTAATCACTTAGCTAGATATTGTTTGAGTTGATGAACTAGGCAAAGTGGGAGCCAGTGAGGAAACAAAGCTATACGGTGATATCACTGTGACAAACTGGGCCATATATCACAGAAATGTTCGGAGAAACAGATCAACGGAATAGACATCAGCACCAGTCTCATTCTCCACCCAGATATAAATGCTGAACTGCCTGTAGTCAATGTATTGGTCAACGGGAAATGGCGTTCAGCTCTCACTGACTGGTTGCTCTTGGCTGATCGTTAGTGCAGAGTGATACTGGTTGTGGACTGGAAAGCACGTATATGTAGAGATGATCATTGGCAGAATGCGGGTGTGCTGTGGTGTCAGGACAGTTAATATCAGCACAGTGGCAACTCAGCTATGGTTGATGCTTTTGTGGTGCATGACAAACTTTGGGGCTTTGATTTATATGCCAAAATAGATGTGATAACTGCAGTAGGTGGTATCCATATAACGCAGACTGGAGCTGTATGGATCTGCAGCAAAGAAACACCAATATGTACTGCTTCTCTTGACACCATGACTCCCAGTCTGGTAATGGAAGTACATCAACGCAGTGGGCAACCAGGAGTAGGGTGTAGCACACATTTTGTGAGAAGAGTGTGTTCTGTGATAAAGGCCATGATAAAATCAGATATTGGGACCTGTGGGAGTACACAAAAAATCCTGTGCCAGTCCATTGGAAAAAGTGCAGACTTGGAGTAAACAGTACTTGGTACTGGCTTGGCATGGATATCACTCACTACCACAACAGTCATTAGCAGACACTAACAGGCTGTGGCTCATCATGGTTTTTTGTGTGGCAGCCGTTACATCATACATCAGCTGGAGTTCGTTTTCTGTGAGGAGACCCCCACATAAGATACAGACACCATGTTCTATAGCAGGGAGTTCTGGGCCTTTGCCTATGGATGGGATGTGCATTTGTGATTCTGATGAGCACATGTCCCAGCAGGAAATGGAATAATAGAGTGATATCACAGAAGTGTCAAAAGGATTGCAGACAGGATGATGTATAGTGCTGAAGAGGCCACCTACTGGTACAATGTAATCCCCAAAGATGACACCCTACCACTGACTGTAACTGCAAATCAAGTCTACAGATATGAAGTTCAGCTTAAAGGGATAGATTCAGTACCTCCAACAATGTCTGAGGTGGGCCACATGTACAAGTTGGGAGACCCTGTGTGGGTAAAGGCCCTACACAACCAGCATACAACTTTCGGACATGAACGAATGGCTGGACTTGTTAGACTACAATCAGTCTTAGTGGATGGAATGCCCCACCATGTCAGAGACCTTTGTCCTTCCCAGAGTTCATGATTTTCAACAAGTAATGAAGATATGTCTGACAATGAGAATTAAATCCTCATGAGCATGGATAGGCCAGGTGATCCCAAAGGAAAAATCACATGGGGACATGAACCAATCCCATTTTGGTGAGGCACTTGGCGAAAGAGACCTACTCCAAGCTGTTGTATCTGTGATCAGGGGGCCTGTGGTGAATGTGCGTCAGTACAGATGCAAAAGAGTCCTCAGATAGCATGCAGATGTTTGTCAACACCAGTTACATCCAGGTTTTTCCCGTTAGCAGCAGGACAGTTTAACACATCTAGCTAGATATGGGCCTCTCTGCAACTGCTCATGGTCAGGGTTTTTGTAAGATGCTTCATGCCAATAAAAAATTCAGTGGTTGTACTATGCATGAAATCAGCTTATACATGAGTATATATGGTAATTAAAATTTGATTTTTTTAATCAATAATACTTACATAAACAATTAAAACTATGACCGTGTTCTAACTAATAAAATTAACTAAGATTTAAAATCAGCATTTAGGTTATATTTTATGAAAATATCAGTAAGCAAATACAAATTTAACATTCAAGAATAATTTCACTTGGAAGTATTCTGTGAGGGATGTTGACTTGTTATTTTTATATCCCTAAAATTTACAAGATGAGAATTTCTATTTGTAATAAAAACTCAATGAAATTTTAACTTCTAAGTTCATTGCAAAAAGAGCTAAAATGTTAAGATCGCTGCTTCGTTTGGTTTTAATCAAATTTCTAAATCAATGCTTCTTAATTTTACTAAAACGTTATTGTTAAAGTTTCAAATTATACAAAAAAAAAAAAAAAAATATTTCTAGGTCCTACAGACTTCTACTTCATATACACTTTTTTCTTTTGTAATGAACAAGGGGTGTTTTAAACTTCTGTCCTTCCCAAAGAGATTCCAAGAAAATCTTGTTTAGTCAGGCAGAGAACTTTTCAGCGCCTTTCGTAATTTTTTTTTTTTAAACAGGATTGAAATCTATTAACTTTTTAAAATAATAACAAATCAGAAATCAACTAGAAAACATTATTTAAACGTACGTACAATATTTCACATTGAAAAGTTTTAATTTTTTTCAGTTTCAAAAAGAAAATGCAAATAAAAGTTATATTTAGAAATTAGTTTCGAATAAACAAAATCGACGATTTTTATAAAATTTTATGCTGGATTCAAGAAAAAGTTATCTCAAAAGTCAAAAAGATATTTTTTTAGTTCCTTAGCGCAGTTAGGAAAGAAAATTGTTCGTTTTCCTTGAGTTAAACAAATGAAGGTAATAATCATTATTAAATAATGTCATAGCTTTTATATTCGTGAACGTTAAACAATGTAAGAAAATAATAGAAAAATATTTTATTGTTTGCAAGTTGTTTCAAAAAGAAAATAATGTGAAAAATAGCACATTGTGCCGGGTAGGGAAACTGATAGTATTTTTAAATGACGTGGAACTGTCTCAAACTATTTCAAATTTTATTGTACATCTAGACAGAACTATTGCAATCAAATACAAAATGATTAATGAAAATACTTTTATTAATATTCAAAATGGTACAATCACACCACAAATAAATTATACAAACCTTGATTCCTTTCAGCAATCGGTCCAGCTGCCATGTTGAAATGTAATGAACGTATAATAATTAACTGCAGATTTCGAGAGTGGGTAATATTTGTTATGAACCTGAACTGAATACAACTTCAATTCACATGCTCTAAATTTCTCTCATTATTTAATTTATGTTCAAAATAAAATCATAATCTTAAATAAATTGATATTAAGACTATTTTTATATTTACAACTGAAATAATTTAATTAAGATCCTTTTTTTTAAAACCATTTAACAACACCTAAAAACCTTTTTTAAATTTTGAACTGCCATGAAAATTTAGATTTTTCAACGAATTAAATTTTAAAATCTTTAAATCAAAAAAAAAAATTATGAATAAGAAGCATGAATAATTGTCATCAGTATTTTAATTTGCACTTTTATTTTGAAAAGCAGTGGATTGAAACCGATTTTGTTATTAATATTTTCTGATAATTTAATCTTTTGTTAATTAACGACAACAACGGCATTATTAGTTTTTTTTTTAAATTCTCGCACGATACAAAGAAAATTTTGTTCTTCAAAATGAAAAAAATCACTTTCAGAACAGATTTAAAGTGAATTTTTACTTAATAGACATCAAAATACAATTTTTTCAGTCATAACTTATTAACAAATTCAAAGCGCAAGATGTATGCATTTAAATTTAAAAGAAAAAAAAAATTATTTCTTCTTCTTACAGCAAGCAGAAAATCTTTACCCAAAATGCAAATATAATTGTTGCAGATTTATATCAACTCACAACAAAGGAAAAGGTCTTTAAATATAAAAATACAAGATATTTTTATTTTCGTGATTAATTTCTTACAACCCTTTGCTTGCTTGTTAAGATGAAAATGTGATTTTTTTGCATGTATGTATGAGAAAGTAGAGGCAATGGAGAAAGTGAGGAGGAAAATGCTAATGTCACATAGCTTGGTGAGGAAAACGGATGAATGAGTATATAGGATATAAACTCCTATATTTTACAGCCAATAAGTGAAACAAGGGACGCCTACAAACAGAGTTCCAAATTAAATAAGTGGTTTCTGAAACCTGATTGGATAAGACAAGTCATGTGATGTCCTTTTTCCGACGTCCGTTCATTTGAACGCAAAATGACCTGAAAAAGAGTGGGGCTCGAGTTATTACATACATTCCCGCGCAAGACTCAGATAGTGATTCGGAGCCGAGCATCGGCTAGCCATAGCGATAAAAACAGCTCGCCAGAAACAGTCAAAACAGCGTCTAGATCTGCAAAAGGAGCAGTCAGCGAACAAAGGCCTGCCTCGACACACGTTACCATGTCAACGCGTCACTCAGCGATGCTTTTGTTTAGACTGAAAAACATCCAAAGCTGTGAGTCCTGTATCCTCTCTCTCTTTGTTCACAGTGTTTAAAATTACTTTTATCGCACCTAATCAGAGGTCACACACGTTTCATTAACGTGTGCTTCACACACACACACACACACACACACACACACACACACACACACACACACACACACACACACACACATTGGCATACACATCATTTCGAACTTTGCAGACTCACTTGCAACAAAACCACTTTGAATTTTGCAGATTCACTGGTGACAAATCAAACTATTGGTCTCTTCGTTGTGTTTTAATATGGAAATACATGTATTTGCATGTATAAATGTTATTGTCATATTTAGCTTGATGTTCTTTTTCTGCGAAGATCATTTCTCCGCGTTGTTTATAATTTTGTATTGTATTTGTAGATTTTAATTTTCAACCTGAAATCCGGACAGACTGACCCCACAACTAAGAGTAATTTCTTTTAAACTGAGCGTCGTAAACTGTTGCATCTGTCTTGCTTTACTGATTTGTCCGGCTAGAAACTTTGCTTAAATACCCTTCAAAAGGATTGTGGTAAGTGCCAGAAAGACTTGGTAATTATTTTATCGGAAACTTTGGAAATATAACGAACTGACTCAAGAGTATAAAATAAATAATATATATTTATTTATTTGATTTAGATTAGAGTGAGTCCTTTAATATTGATAAAATGTTCATTTATAAGGCAAATAAACATAAATGGCAACGTTTTCTTCTGAAATGTCCTCGTTTGGAAACGCGACAGGCCACCCACTAAAATAACCCACTATTGTTAGAAAGTAGCTGAATCAATTAGCATTAGGAAGGGGCGCAACATAAGGTTGGAGATGACCTTGTTGGGGACGTGCAGAATTTATTAATTATGCTTGAAAGAATCAGAAGGAATTTGTGTAGGTTGCGTGACTTTCTGCATCCACAACAAATAAATAAACGAAATTTAAAATACGATTAAGAACGAGACATATTCAATTAGAAATTAATACAACATTTATATACAATTCAAAGCAATATACAAACAGGATAATTGATATATGTTATGTTGGCGAAATGTGTATGAGTTTTTTTTTTATTTCAGGATGTCTCTCTTTGTAATTGTTCGTTCATTTACAGTCTTTTTAAGTTTGTGTTGATATTAATAATTGTCGATATTAAGTGTCTTTTTTTAGAAGGAGTTTTTAAGAGTGATCTACCTTTAACTGTAATGTAATGTTTTTAAGGTCGTTCGCACGTTGATGTTTACTTAATAGGCAGCGAATATAATTCACTTTAGATAAGCAATGTTGAGAATTGATATCTACAGAGTTGATTAAGTTTTCGATCGGGAATGAGTCAGCGATGATGTATCTTTGCGCGGTCATATCGTGATTTCGAGTGACGTGGAGTATTTTGGCAAGTTCTCCGTGGGTGTTTGTTACTGACTGCCTGGGGCGGTCAGCGTTTATTTTTATAAGGTCTGAAAGTCCGAAGGTGGCTCACTTGAGTTTTGGCGCAATTTCGTTCTGCACGTGAACTTTCAGTGATTAACCAATAAGATTGTTTGTTTCGCTTAGTGCAGTTTTAATTGGTTGAAGTTTTCCGTACGTAGGCGTAAGATATAGACTGTTCTGCTGCCAGGGTTGAAAGGTAAGGAAAAAGGACGAGTCTACAACCTTTTACCAGATCACAAAAATAGTTTTATTTCCGAAAGGAACCGGTAATTCACTTAACTGAAGTGATGTATCATTCTGTACGTTTAATAAAGTAGAATCTTCCTCCTGTTCTTTGGTAATTCTTTCATAACACATTTGAATCAACTGTTGCAATTGTTGATCTTATGGAATTAACACATTAATTCCATCTATATTTTACGCGCGCGCGAGTTTCCTCCCTTCCTTTCACACTCGTGCGTGTGTGCGCGCGGTTTTCACCCCTTTCTTCCTCTCACAGCTAGACATAGCAGTAACCGTCGCTAGCTCCTACTGATGAACTCAGACTAATAGATTTTGAATTTTTTCCCGCGCGTTTCGCGGCGTCTCAAAAACGGCCAGCGTTTGCAAACTAGTTGCCTTCCGACCTTCAACCTAACTAGACGGGCAACTCATTTATTCCGTGCCCTGAACCCATATGCGGGCCGGAATATCTTATTTCAACAATGGCGACCTCACACTTTACCAAGACTTCTTCTCATCTTGACGTTACCCTAAGGTCAACCAGTTGCCTCCCGACTTTCGACCTGACTAGATGGGCAACTCATTTATTCCGTGCCCTTAACCCATATGCGGGCCGGAATATCTTATTTCAACAATGGCGACCTCACACTTTACCAAGACTTCTTCTCGTCTTGACGTTACCCGCAGGTCAACCAGTTGCCTCCCGACTTTCGACCTAACCAGATGGGCAACTCATTTATTCCGTGCCCTTAACCCATATGCGGGCCGGAATATCTTATCTCAACAATGTCGACTTCACACTCTACCAAGACTTCTTCTCGTCTTGAAGCTGCCCGCAGGTCAGACCTTCTCCGTTTTCGACCAGAAGACGTTAGAGACACACGACACGGTCGTGAGCAAAACTTCGTATTCAACTACTAATGGCTTATTTTTATCCCTCGTCAGTGAACCAGTAAATACAGACAGGGATATCCTACTGACGAACAATTTGCTATCCGCAGGTCAGACTTCTCCGTTTTCTACTAGAAAATGTTCGAGACACACGACACATTCGTGGGCAAAACTTCGTATTCAACAGATGACTTACACTTACCCCTCGTCAGTGAACCAGTAAATACAGACAGGGATATTATTACCTTCGAACAAACATTTTTCGTCTCTCTCTGGGCTCGCCGTAAACAACTCCACAAGACCATGAAACTCGCTTCAAACATTCCTCGTTTCTCCTGGCTAGATGCCCACAGCAATCCGGTAAAATTCTCAACAGTTAATTCAAGACCTGACCGAACTCTGAGTCCCTACCTTGAACCTAAAACACAAAATCACATACACTCTCAAATCATTGGACTCTGAACCAGTACCTTAAAAATATGCATAACCTCACTTACAACGCCAAAAAAATCCACAGTGAGTACTCCTTTCTATCTGTGCGCACATACACCTCGTGTCTAACGAGTTTCCTTTTTCCAGAACCTTATAAAACTCTTTTTCCCGCCTTAGCCATCTTGTATTCCTATTTTGGCGCGGAACTTTTCATTAATCTCGTACCACGGGATAAGTTACTTGTTTTTCCTGCATTTAATAAAAATTACTCTTGTTTGAATCCAGTCTTTTTCCGTCATTCTGTGCCGGCTATCTTAATATATTTTATTTTATGCACGTGTGGATTAACCACATTTCTTCGTTGTTCATTCACACGCATTATTATTTTTTTTTTTATTCATTGCTTGTAGACTCGGTAGTTTAGTGTGGTGTCTGGCACAAGGCCACTTCGTAATAAACCAGCACTGCACGCTGCCGGGTCTGCAACAATCTCGAAAGAGTGTCAACTACAATGTTTTCATTGCCTGTGATATAACGAATGTGAGGTGAATTGTTAAATATAGTGACGCATCTCGTGTAGTGAATATTTGTTTGGGTTATTGCTAGACATATGAGAGTGGCTTGTGGTCAGTGTATATGATAAAATATCAACTTTCTAAGATATGCCGAAAGTGTTTTAGTGACAGGTAATT